AGGGAGGGAGGGAGGGAGGGAGGAAGGAAGGGAGGGTGAAAAGCAAAAGAAAAGAAAGAAATTGCATTAAGATGCAGAATCAGTTCCTACAGCTGTATTAAAATGCTTGTGGGAGGGAAGAGGACAAATTCAGACAAACGGGGCCAAGTGGTTCGTTGCCTGCATTATTTGGATGTTCTACCACAGACTCACTGGGGCAGGAATGGGTGTTTATTTGGAATGCCTGCATCTGCACTCCCATAACTGCTTAGCCCAGGCACTGGAGCTGCTTAGCCCTGATGTGTGTGCTGGTGCTTCTCCTGGGTGAGGGTGGAGTTACAGAGGTCTTCTTGACCATCCCAATGGCTCATAGAGTCATAACAGAAGTCATCTTGTCCTAGTGATGATGCATCATTCCAGACACTCAATATTCTGTCCTGCACCAGGACCCAGATTCCTAACATCTGCTGCCAAACCTTCCTGGCATGGTGAATGGGCATCTTCATTTTCTACTGTCCTGGCTTGGATAAGTGTTTGAAATGGGGCTCTGTGCATCTTGATCAGCCAGGCTTTACCTGTCTTTCTACTGGGATTGTAATCAGAAATAAGAACGGAGGATGGAGGCAGGAAGAAACAGTTGGGATGAAGCCCCGAACATCATTCTCTGCTTCTGGCCCACTGCTTTGCTCCAGGAAGCACCACCTCAGTCCCCCTGTACCTTTGCAACAGCTTTCTCATTGGTTTCATGACTCCCAACCTGTCTTTCTTGTAGCTTATCCTTCAATATGCAGGTAGGTACCCTTACAACAAATAAACTCAAATATGAACTGTATTAATTAAAATATTCTAATGAATTCCTTTTTCCTACAGAATAAATCTTAAGACTTTTAGGCTTGGCCTAAAAGAAAAGCCTTCCTCATTCAGAGCCAATTCTGACTCTCAATCTCACTTTAGTTTATGTAGTAACACTATACTACAATCTCCCAAATCCCTCCTCCTTTCTCAGGCACATCATGCCTCCTGATCTTCGTATCTAGTTTTTTTGCTGCCTGGAATGCCCTTTTTCTTCTTCTGGGTCTGGTAAACTCTTGTTTGTTGCAATAAGATTTCATTTTAAAATAGTTTTAGATTTACAGATAAGTTGTAGACATTGTGCAGAGAATGTCAATAGATCCCACACTCAGTTTTTCCCATTGTTAAAATCTAAGTCGAATTATAAGTAATCAGTATTACCTTCTTTATCTTCTTCCCGATTTTTAACAGGATTTTCACTACTCTAATAGTAGTAAAATAAAAAGCAAAATAAGGAAGTAAAATAAGCTTTTAATGAAAATAACTAGCATAGAGAAAACTGAATGATGGGAGAGCAATTGGAGTCAAATTATCTGTCAGTATATCAAGGTCATTCTGAGAGTCAGAACCCAATAAATCAGTGCTTTGAGGAATTTTGGTCTAGGGGTGCCTCATTTCCTAAAAGGGACACATGGCTAGTTTGACCAGCACAGCATCTCATGTTCTAGGACCTCTCCAAGATGGTGGGAGCTCTGTAAACTCTTGGGCTGCGAGATAGGAAGTGGCCACAGCTGAGGCCCAGATCCAAGAAGATAAGCAATCCAAGTGATCTTTCTCCACTGAGAGGGAGGAGCAGCTCCAAATAATCTTAGTTAATATTCAGTAATATTCAGACAACCTTAGTACAAGAAGGCCGTGTATATTAAAATGGAATTGCATGAAGGAAAAAAATTCTTCCAAGGCCATTATCATGCTTATCTCTTCATTAAAAGTGGTTAGGACTTAAAAGTAGTTTTGTTTTGTTTTGCTTCAATACAGACTTCTCTCTCCCTGGGCTCTGGGCATCCTGTACCCTGGCAGAGCAAGGAAAAAATACTTCAAAGCAAAAAATCAAAATTCTGCCTTTCAAACACATCAAAGTGCAACTATGTTCCAGGATTCGGGATCCTTCATATTGGGTGGAAACTTTATTATTCCCTCACATCAGACAGAAGCCAAGTGCTCCAGGCTGAGTGAATCTCCCTATTTCCACAGAACCCTGTGCTCTTGCCCAAATCTTAAGACGAGAGTGGTAAACCTCTGCCATTTCTGGGCAAAGCCATCCATCTGAGATCCAAAATATAAGGCCAGACCATAGAAAAGCACAGTTCACATGAAATAATCAAGAGGAATTTTTTTTTTAAGTAAATGAAGTCTTCCAAAGGATCACCAGCCTTGTAGTCAACCAAGATTAGGAGAGGATGGCATCCCACCCCCATCCCGAAGGTGTCTGGCGCTCCCCACTCCGAATGCTCAGGAAAATGTTTCAGTCAATAAAAGCCAAATGCGGCCAATGGGCATGATAAATGGAAAGCCAGAAAAACCTTTTACCCAAAGAGGTTCCGACACTTAGTTATACAGCTCCAGACCATTTCATTCGTACATGAGTGAGTCTACTCTGACTTCCCCTTGTATTTTGCAGACAGAGTTTTGTTTACAGGATCAATGAATTTATGGCCACAGACACCCACTTTTGACAGCTGACCTGTCAAGATCAGTGCCTGAAAAACTAATTTCCAGCACTATTAAACAAAACAAGTACTGCTGCTATTTGATAAGACAGCTACGGTTTTCATTCATTGCTGAAATCTGCTCTACCCAAACCAGAAATGTGGATGGAGCCAGAGGTTACAGCACAATCATCACTTGAAAGGAGATATATAGTCTCAAGATCTGATTATGACAAACAACTGTGCA